GAGTAAAGGACTTTTGATATCAGTACGAAAGAAACAAAAATTATATCAAAAGTTCTTGAAACAACAAAATGATAATAATAGAACTAAGTATACTATCTATAAAAATAAATTAACTTCTTTATTACGAACATTGTCAACTCATGTTTCTAGTATTTGTAAGTCAGTCAGATATCAACTGAGAAATCTAGGTTTTATTAGGAAATACTTAAGTCGTTCAACCACAGAGAAACTTGTACATGCTCTTATTTCATCACGCTTAGATTTCTGTAATTCTATTCTCTATCTGCTCCCTAACACACAACTTTCTCGACTCCAGAAACTGCAAAATACTGCTGCACGTATTGTCACACTTTCTTCTCGTAGAACCCACATCACCCCCATTCTCAAAACTCTTCACTGGCTCCCGGTATGTGACCGAATTATTTTTAAGTTGTTGTTGCTAGTTTTCCATTCCTTGTATGACTCTGCTCCTTCCTACAATATCAAGTTGATTGTTAAGTATAAGCCTACAAGACATCTTCGTTCATCTCAATCCTCCTTATTAGTTGTCCCTAAGACGCGCAGTTCCTGGGGGGATAGAGCATTTTCTCATTCTGGTCCGTCCCTTTGGAATAAGCTGCCAGTTAGTATTCGTAATTTAACTACCCTTCATGCCTTCAAAGTTGCTCTAAAAACCCATCTCTTTCTAAACAGTGCTATCTAATCATGTCAATGTAGCGTTATAATTTGTGTTTTAGTTTACTTTATTTTAGTTAAGAAGTTATATTTTTGTGATAGTAATACATGTATGTACAGCGCCATGAGCGTCAGAGCCTGGCGGATACCGGCGCTATATAAATATCCATATTATTATTATTATTATTATTAAAATGTTTGCTAAGTATAAACATGACTGCAAGAAAACATGGTCACAAGTTAATGCATTACTAGGAAAGAGCAAGAAGAATGATTTGCCGTGTAATATGTATTTTAAAAATATTAGTTACAATAATAGAAAAGAGATTGTTGAATGTTTCAATTTTTACTTTGTTAATGTAGGGAGTAATCTAGCTCGTGGCATTCCTGTTGTAGATACTTCATGTAATGATTATTTAAAAAATCACAATGATTTTACATTGTTTTTAAAACCTACTACAGTTTTTGAAATAATTGAACTTAGTAAAACATTGAAACCATATAGTGGCCCAGATGGTATTTCTCCCAGAGTAGTAAAAGAATGTATACACTTTATTGTTGATCCACTATGTGATATATTTAATAAATCAATTTCTTCTGGAGTATTCCCCGACAGTTTGAAATTAGCTAAAATTATACCCATTTATAAGAAAAATTATTTAAAAAAATATACAAAATTACAGACCAATTGCTTTTTTATCAATTTGTTCAAAATTATTTGAAAAAATCCTGCAAAAAAGAATTTATGATTTTTTGGTTAAAAACAATTTATTGATTAATGAGCAATTTTGATTTAGGAAGACTTATTCTACATGTTTGGGAGCACTTCATTTAACAGATTATGTAGTTAAGAATATGGATAAGGGTAATTATTCGTTGGGTGTGTTTATGGATTTGTCAAAAGCGTTCGACACCATTGACCACCACATACTGCTCAAAAAATTAAATTATTATGGTATTCGCGGCCTTCCATTGAAATTAATTGAAAACTATTTGAGTGATAGAAAGCAGTATGTGGTGGTTGACGGTGTCTGTTCGACTAAAAGGGATGTAATATATGGTGTTCCTCAAGGATCAGTTCGAGGGCCCCTTTTGTTTTTAATTTATATAAATGATATTAAACAATCGTCAAATGTATTAAATTTTACACTCTTTGCAGGTGATACTTCAGTTATTACATCACATAGTAGTGTATTTACTTTAGTTGATATTATGAATAATGAATTGATAAAATTGGATAATTGGTCCAAATGTAATAAATTATTTCTCAATTATGATAAAACAAATTATGTAATATTTCATTCTCGAAATCGGAAGATCCCTAGTGATTTATTGCCTATACAAATTGATGTAAATATTATAAAAAGGAAAGAATGTGTTCAGTTTCTTGGTATTATAATTGATGAATCACTTAATTGGAAACCTCATATTGATTGCATTTCGTTGAAATTATCTAGAAGTATTGGAGTTTGTCAAAGCTAAAGCATGTTTTACCATCAAATATTTTGCTAATGTTGTATAATAGTATGATTTTTCCATATGTAAATTATTGTAATGTTATTTGGGGAAATACTTATGCATCATAATAGATAAGATTTATTTGTTACAGAAACGAGCCGTGCGTATTATTACTAAATCTGATTATTTAGCCCCATCACGGCCACTTTTTGTTAAAACACACGTAGTCCCAATTTTTTAATTGATTCAGTTTAATACTCGCATATTGCCAGAAATTCCTAATATAAACTTTGTTATTAATAGTGATATTCACTCGTATTCTACTCGTCAGAAAAATGATTTACATTTATTTAAAGTTCGTACGAAAAATGCAAAAAATTCTTTCTATTTAAATGGCATTAAGGAATGGAATTAGTTGAGTAATGATATTAAGAAAAGTACAACTCTATCTCGATTTAAAGTACGATGTACACAGTTATTATTTAATGATTTATGTAAACAAGTTTAAGCAGAGGAGGATATTTTGAATGTATGTGTGTATGTATATGTGTGAGCGTGCATGTGTGTTTGTATCATGTTATTTTTTAAACTGTATAATTTATGTGTAGTTTGTTTTTTCTTTTTAAGGCCCCACCACAAGCAATTTGCTTCTAAGGGTGTCCTTTACCGTATTATGTTTACTATGTTACTCATTCGTTTGTACATGTTTCATTTTATGGTTAAATAAACTTTACTAATAAGGGCAGCATCGCCCAATATTGTAAATGTGAAAATTGTACCTAGATACATCTCCATACAAAATTTGAAGGAAATCCGTCAAGAAATTGGGTCTGCATAGTGTACTCATGCTATCCTGCATAATATGACACTGATAGCAGTATCACTAAAGTCTATAGGCTTGTAGATTATACCAAGATACACCCTCGTATAAAATATGAAGAAAATCCCTTAAAGGGACTTGGTAACATTGTTCAGATGAGAGATAGTGGTGCTAAGGTAGTGACTTCAATGCTAGATGTACAATTAAAGATATCTGAAAATTTGAGTGAAAACGGACCATTATTCATGATACAATAAGGGAAAAACTGATCTGATCGATTCCTTAATTCTCCCAACTATGTTATTACAATATAATTACATTTTAGGTGAATGGAAATCTCATAAAGCAATATAATGGCTCTACATTCCATTCCAAACATTTCAGTGTTGACAGATTTTTTTAAAGCCTGTTTTATGTCTATTTTTCATGGAAAAACGGTTGGGAAAATTCAAAAATGGTTGGGAGAATTTACTGTTAATCACTGTTTTTAATAGAGGGTGTCAATCATCGAGGTCTTCAAAGAAAACCATAGATATCTTCGTGGTTTGAGAATTTTTTCAGGATTTTTTGCATGTCAGAGGGTTAGTACAGTATAGAAGGAATATAGTAAGTAACGTTTTATACAAAAAATAAGCAATTTTTTTCATCAACCTTAAACAATGTTACCAAGTCACTTTAAGAAAAGTGGCCTATAGAGCGCACACAAACCATCCACACAAAATATGGCATTTTACCCTATAGAAGACAGAATACTAGGGGCAGAGTCACCAAAAATTACAGATGTGTAGATTATACCAAGAAATCAAGGAATATCAAGGAATGTGGCAGTAAGAGCGTACACAAGAATATGACGCGGCGGTGGCGTAACACTGCTGAATCCAAAATACCCCTCCTGCATACCTACTGCCAGGGGATACATTAAAACATAATTATGCGGAAAAAAATTCTCGTAATAGAGGTATTTATAAACGAATCCGGACACCTACCCCCTGGACATCCACCCCCATCCCCCCCCCCCTCGGTTAACCACCCTCGGTCATCTCCCTCTAGGACGACTAACCCAGGACAAATACCCCTAGGACAAATACCCCCGGACAACTACCCCCAGACAACCACACCCGGACAACTACCCCCTAGGACAACTACCACCGAGACAACCACCCCCAGACATCTAACCCCTAGATAATTGTCCGGGGGTAGTTGTCTGGGGGTAGTTGTCCGGGGGGTAGTTGTCCCGTGGGTAGTCGTCCTAGAGGGTTGTTGTCCAGGGGTTAGTTGTCCTAGGGGGTAGTTGACTGGGGGTGGTTGACTGGGGGTGGATGTCCAGGGGTAGGTGTCCTAGAACCATTTATGAATATGATACAGTCACTCAGGTTATAAATAAAAGTTAACGACTTAAAGGGAAAGTCCACCCCCAAAATAAGTTTGTTTCGATAGAGGCAGAATAATAAGAAAATCAGGTGAGTGAAAGTTTGAGCAAATTCTGAATGAAAATAAGAAAGTTATGAATTATTGAAGTTGTGATCAATCAAATACAAATTGGCAACTCTGTGACTTATCATACGAGCTCTCCTTCATTTGCTTTGTGCATAATATTCCATAAAATCATGTTTTCTTCGTTATTGATGACGGAATATATATTTGTTCCTTGCAGGGCGAGTATAGAAACATATTTGCAATTGTTATATTTAGGGTGCATGTATGGTTGAAATTTTTCTTGAGGGAAAATGAAAATTTTAGATTTTTTTAGTACTGAGCAAATGGAAGTTGAGCTCGCATGATACGTCATAGAGTTGCCAATTTGTGTTTGATTGATCACAACTTCAAAAATCCTAACTTCCTTATTTTTAATCGGAATTTGCTCAAACTTTCACTGACTTGTTTCTCTCATTTTCTACTCCTATTAAAACTAACTTAATTTCAGGGTGGACTTCCCCTTTAAGAAAAGGAAATTTACGTACAAGTGTATACGTAAGACGTAACCAAGGTAATTTGGTGGTAGTTTTCTTTGGATGATGCTTTTGAAGTGAAATGATACGCTATATACCTGTAACAGATAGCAGTACATGGCCACGTTCCTTAATGAAGAGAAGTGTCGCCACTTTACAGTGGTATATTCCACTGTCTGTCTTCTTGAGGTCCTTGATCGTTAGACGAGTAGCATGGTCGCGGCCCTCATATCTGGTATCGTTTGTCCATGGGGTATTACTCTTGACTTCGAGAGAGTAGACAGTGAGATCGTTCTTCTTCCAGTACACCCATACAGATGTATCGTTGGGGAAATGGGGACACAGCAAGGTGACATTTCCTCCAATGGGGACAGTTTTCTCTATGGAAGGAGAAAATTATCATAAGGTATATCAAGAGTCATTTCTATTATACGCTTTTGTACATCGGTGACGTTTCTTCACGTTTACCACAGCGGTTTACTGCGTTTTTTTATTTGTTTGTTTTGTTTTTTGTTGGGTAATTAATCTTACTTCCGCTTGCACTTCATAGTTTGTATAGATTGTCTATAACGCAAATATAAATGAGTAAATGATACCCCTTTGTTGTGCGCAGATAATTTATTTTGTTAATCCCCATTTGCCAATTATTTTAGTTCACACAAAAACCTTTCGGCTTACTTTGCATGCCATATTAAAGATATGCGAATGAGCCTTTACTTGATGAAAGAGGGGCGGCGATTTATTTTCGTGACGGGGGGGGGGGGCGAAATGCGAGAGACGAGGGAGCATAGTGATCGAGAGGGGCGAAGGTGACGGAAGTGACTACCCCCTCAGAGTTTTTTGAAGTTTTGTTGCATTTACAAATTACATCCTTACCAGAACTATAGTATAAAAACAAGCATCTACTCTTTCCACACTTCACTTTTACTTTGCCGGTAATAAGTGTGCAGTCCGAAGGGTTGCAAACATTTAGTAGGTAAATTTCAGTAAGTAGGGAGCTGGGGCATGGACAGGATGTCTATTTTTCACTCTAGGCCTCTGTCATGTACATGTATATTGATATCGCTATGGGAGTTGACATGGCCAATAATTATAAAGACTATGTGGGAGTAAACTATCGAAACCAACCAATCTATTTCTACGACTCTTAATCTTGTAAACATACAGTGTAAACTGTGCTTACGTTATACCATCGGAATACAGAAAGCGAGGGATCGTAACGACCGAACGAGAAGATTAGTTTGTTGTTTTTTTGTTTTTTTGTTAGTCTTTAATAACGCTGCACTCTTGGGCCCTCCAGACTAGTCCAGAGTCTTCAGTCAGTATTACCTATACCATTTTTGGGAGCTTTTTCAAATCCACCTGTACCCCCCCCCCCCCCTCGGATCGCCGCCCCTGCATGCAAGGCTTTATATAATACAGACTTAAAGGAGAAAATACTCTACTATCTAGTCTAAGTCATCTATACAGTGCAAATATTGTGTTTTCTATTCACCATCTTCATAACTAAAATTGTATCGTGCAATTAACATTGAAATACCTACACAAAACAAGAACTATTTATTCCCTAGCTGGCTCATTAAGAAATCCAGTGGTCATAACAGTATGAAATTATGCTATGATCAGAAGGTGCCTTTAACTTATACACGCATTGCTATGAGAGTGGGTCCAAAGCATATGGTCCAAAGAAAGAGAAGGGGGGGGTGCTCAAAACACTGTGATACAGAGGAAACAGGAGCAAGAGAGAGGCTCCTACAAGCCATGGTCATCTTGCAATTATGCTACAATTTTACATATATTTTGTAAAACATGCATTAAAAAAATCAACACACCTGGCTGAGCGGCCTGTCTTCTGATTGGCCCTCCCATCGTCAAAGCAACTGGGAACATACAAGTCATGCAGGTAATGCAGGTAATAATGCCGAATTTCATTGTGTAATTCCTGTAATATGTAGAAAAAAACATGATCATCATATAATACAGTAGCATAACAGGCAAAGTGGTTCTTGGCCGAAGATCTCGATTTTATCCTACCCCACGAGAGAATGTCATCAATTCATCTCTAATTTCATGAAGTCCACTAAATATTCACAACCCTCATGCACAATTTGCATTTTTGTTATTTATATTTTCATCATCACTATTATCATCAGCATTATATTGTTATTACTAATATCATCATTATTATCATTTTATTATTGTTATTATTATTATTATTATTGGTAGTAGTAGTACTAGTAGGAGTAGTATTATCATAATAACTTGTTCACGACAAAAGCTTCTCGTCACTTTATCTCGTCAGAAAATCTCAGATGTGTCTCACTTGACACCACTCCACAGTAAAAAGTCCTTTCTCTTTACGTCTTTTTGATAGTTCAAACTTAAACCTATAGTTTATACATTAAATTCAAACACTTTCTAGTAATCCCTGGATTACTATAAACATCCGTGTATCAACTCAAGAAAAGCATCCAATACAAGACAATCATGCATCAATGATAACTTTAAATCAAATATTTTCAATGTTTACTCATAGCTGTCAAACTTTTGTCTGAAAATCAAATTACCTACGGAAGTTAAATTATCAAGAACATAATTTTCGTTATAACTGCCTTTCGAAAAATAACTCCGAAAATAAACCAGTAACATGAAATCCAAAAACAAGAATTATTCTTCCAGAACAAGAATGGTCAGTGGCTGTATTTATTGCCTTTAATATTTGTTTATATTTTTTTTCTTCACATAAACATTAAACAATTTTTAAACACCTTCAAATGAACTGAACTGATGTGCATCAACATACAACTTACATCGAAATAACGTACATGTACATGTATTATGAACTTTCAAACGACAGAGAAATACTTAGCACTGTGCATAATACCATTTTCATACATGTAATACATGACTCTAGTAGGCCTACTTCCCCCTGAACATTATCTTCTTTTTTTTTTCTTTTTTTTTTCTTCTATCAACTTGTCCGAAGTATAACATTCATGTTAATATTCAAAACACTGAATAAAACGTGACTTCTAAGGGAACAAATACACCGTTTTCAAAACACTTTCTCCTTTAACCCAATTCGAGTTCTCTCTTTCTGGTATATTTTATATCAACAAAATATACCTGATTTTACCTCTTGGATATCACAGATAGGGGGTAACATTGAGCAGTGTTCCGGGGTTTAAAGGGGTCTCCAAGGAAGGAAAAGCCCACAAAAAGCCCGCAAAAAGCCCGTGAAAGGGGGGTTCAGAAATGTTGGCAGTCCTGAGCTGAGATAGGTGAAGGAGGGGGGATGCTTTCATAAGGAGACAAGCATACGCGTAACCTAAAACACTGAGTGGTAAGGGGCCGGGATCACGATAGGCACAGTACACAACGAGCACAAGACAAGCGTGCACATGGGGAGGGAATCTGAACATATTCAGTGTATCAAGGAGTTTTAAGAGCTGGAGACCCAACTGGCAACAAATTATTCGAAGCAGCTGCCGTTTTCTATGGTTGCACAATAAAATCTACTGGTATGCTGTTACCTTTGATGTCCGAGGTTCCAAGCCGCCAATATCATTGGAAAGCTTGAGTAGTGATTATTGTCACAAAGAAATATCCTCAATATTTCACTTTTTATTTGAACTAACAAGGGGAAAATCTTCCAGATGAAAAAATATGAATACAAAAACCTAATTGTGTCAAGAAATTTACATACATTATGATAGCAGCTTTAATTTGTGAAAAATAGTAAAAATGTACAGTCCTAAAACCTGCAATTTGACACTTTTCCGATTACTTGCGGCTCACGAAAATAAAAAGTGAATTTGTTCGTGTACAGTTCTTGTAGTGTACATGGTGTTATATACCACCTCGCCAACTGTTATACTGCCATCTGTTGTTGGATAATAAAGACTGTCTTCAATATGGCCGATATCAGAGTGTAGCTGCTTCGTCATTTCATGTCTTAATACACCACATATTTTGGCGACGAGGATGGGATTCAGTGAGTCCGACGTCGGGATCGAAAGGACAGCTTATTGCGGTTCTCATGGGTAGTAGAAACCTATATTTCATTCGATTACGACTCAACGATTGTGGTGAGACTAAATCCTGATCGAAAGTTGACATTTGTAATTTACTGCACGTGTACTGTTTGGCTGAGTGAATGATCTGCAGTGCGGCATGGCGAATGCAGTGGGGCCGGGATTCATTGGCCAGATCGGGGAATATTTTCCCAAAAGAGAAGAATATGGAAACTATGTTAGAAGATTCCAGATATGGAAAAAAGCCAATAAGATACCAGAAGGGGACGAAGTAATTGTCTTCTTAGCCATAGTTAAGCCTGAGTCGTTCGAAACGGTGTCTAATCATTTTTGTCCAGACGACCCAAGTACCAAAACTTTCAAAGAATTGAATGAGGTATTGGATACATATTATGGTTCCAGTAAAAACCAGATTGCACTCCGTTTGGCGTTCCGACAATGTCGTCAAGGGGCAAAGGACTCGATAACAGAGTACATCCTTGAACTGAAAAAGCTGGCAAGGCATTGTGGGTATGGTGAACATCTGGATACCAACCTTCGAGACACTTTCGTAGCAGGTCTGCGAAATAACAAGGTGCAGGCGAAGCTCCTGGCCAAAGGAAATGAGCTGACCTGGAAAGTTGCAGTTGATGCAGCAATTGCGATGGAGCTGGCAGATGCAGATAGTTTAAAACTGCAGCAAGGGTCAAGCAGCGGTCAACGTTCAGCAGAGGTGCATCGTCTAGAAAGATCTCAACCAAGGGCCCCCCAGCAGGAGAGCACATGTTACCGATGTTTAGGTTTCCATCTACCTGCTACTTGTCCCCACCGGCAGACGACCTGTTATAGTTGCAGGAAAGTAGGGCATCTGAAGAGGGCATGCAGAAATGCAACATCAAGCTCCAGTTACAGCAAAGGACGCGGGAAACCATGGAACGCAAGTCGCGGACAGTCCAACGAACCATCGCAAGGACGCGGTAGAGGTCCAGGTCCAGGCCGGGGTCGTGGGTATAGTCAGCAAAGTACAAGTCAAGGAAAAAAGGACAGTAGATCGAACACACATCTGATCGACACAGAAGTCCAGGATGACAATCCTAAATTGTTCGCAGTTGATGAACAAGATACTAGTATGGACTCAGACTCAGTTCCCATTGTTGAATTTGATATTTCTGATCATGTTGTGCCATTTGTTGTAGATACAGCAGTAGCTGATTCAGTAATTTTAGAGAAAGAGTACAACAATTCTCTAGGTCACATTCCACTGCAAAGGTCAAGTATGAAACTAACTTGCTATGGTAGAATACAAATACCAGTTTTAGGTAGGATACAAGTGAGAGTACAGTACAGAAATTCTGCATATTACTTACCATTGGTAGTTGTATCAGGTGACAATGTTGCCCTGATGGGTAGGAATTGGTTGAGAAGAATCAGGATAGATTGGGAAGAGTTGTTTGTTACTTCAAAAAACCCAGATCTTCAAGAAGTGTTGAAACATCATGAAGATGTGTTTTGACCAAGTGGTCCAGGTGATACGATTAGGGATTTCAAAGCAGAGGTAAAAGTGAAAGAGGAGGTAAAACCTACCTTTTGTAAAGCTAGACCGGTTCCTTATGCCCAGTTAGAAGTAGTAGAGGAGTTGGATAGGCTAGGAAAAGCAGGGGTGATCAGGAAAGTGAAGAACAGTAGATGGGCGGCCCCAATAGTTACTGTTCCAAAGTCTGATGGGTCAGTCAGATTATGTGGCGACTATAAGCAAACAGTTAACACTGTATTAGAGGAAGACGTTTACCCATTAGCTACCTGTGAAGATCTGTTTGCTAATCTAGCTGGTGGCAAGGTATTCAGTAAGATTGATTTGTCAAATGCTTACTTGCAGTTAGAGTTGACCGACAAGAGTAAGGAGCTACTTACAATTCATACACACAAAGGGCTGTATGAGTATGAAAGATTACCATTTGGGGTATCGACTGCTCCTGCAGTGTTTCAAATTGTTATGGATCGAATCCTAGGTGGTATGAAGGGAGTGTTCTGCTACCTAGATGACATATTGATTAGTAGCGAAAATGAGGAAGATCATATCAAAACACTGAATGAGGTGTTAGGGAGGCTCGAAGAGTATGGTGTCAAGGCGAAGAAGGAAAAGTGTTCCTTCATGGTTTCTAGAGTAATATACCTAGGACATGAAATTGATAGTAAGGGTGTTCATCCTACTAAGGAGAAGGTAGAAGGAATCTGTGATGCAAAGAGACCAGAGAACAAAGATGAGTTGAGAACTTTCATAGGCATTGTGGTGTATAATGCTAAGTTTGTGCCAAATTTAGCTAGTACATTTGCATCATTATACCAATTGCTCAGAGATGATGTCGAGTGGAATTGGACCACTGAGTGTCAAACTGCTTTTGACAGGGTAAAATAAGTGTTGTCAATTAGTGATGTAGTATGGACGCATTATGATACGACGAAACCGTTGGTTTTGGCTTGTGATGCATCCCCGTATGGGTTAGGAGTAGTTTTGTCTCATCTCATGGAAGATGGAGAAGAAAGACCGGTAGCTTATGCATCACGTACCCGTACCAATTCAGAGCAAAATTATTCGCAGATTGAAAAGGAGTCTTTGGCTATCATCTATGGGGTTACCAAGTTTCACAAGTATTTGTACGGTAGGAAGTTTACGTTGTTAATTGATCACCAAGCCCTGACTATCATCTTTGGATCTAAGAAAGGGATTCCATCCCTGGCAGCTGCAAGGCTGCAGAGGTGGGCATTGATTTTGATGGCTCACCAGTATGGAATCAAGTATCGGAAGTCAACAGAACATGCAAACGCAGATGTTTTGTCCAGATTTCCTGTCAAAAAGGAGTCACGTTTGGCTAGTGAATTACCAGTGAACTACTTCACATACACAAATGATATGCCTTTATCGGGAAAGGAAAATCAAGTATCGGAAGTCAACAGAACATGCAAACGCAGATGTTTTGTCCAGATTTCCTGTCAAAAAGGAGTCACGTTTGGCTAGTGAATTACCAGTGAACTACTTCACATACATTAATGATATGCCTTTATCGGGAAAGGAAAATCAAGTATCGGAAGTCAACAGAACATGCAAACGCAGATGTTTTGTCCAGATTTCCTGTCAAAAAGGAGCCACGTTTGGCTAGTGAATACCAGTGAACTACTTCACATACACAAATGATATGCCTTTATCGGGAAAGGAAATCAGTGAAGAAACTAGGAAGGACTTGGTGCTCAGTAAGGTGTTGTATCATGTTATGAATGGGTGGCCACAACATTGTGGTGAGGACAAGTTACAAGAGTATTTCAATAAGAGAAATGAACTATCGGTAGACCAAGGTTGCTTACTATGGGGAATGAGAGTGATAATACCCCCAAAGTTTCGGGAACGATTGTTAGAAGAATTACATCAGGAACACACAGGTATAGTGAGAATGAAAGCTGTTGCAAGGAGTTACTTTTGGTATCCTAAGTTAGATGCAGACATAGAGAAACTATCACAAAGTTGTGAAGCATGTCTCAGGATGAGAAGTTGGTTCGCCGTTTTTGGCTTACATGAAACCCTAGTGTCCGATAATGGTCCTCAATTTACTTCAGAAGAAATGGAAGTTTTCTTGAGTAAAAATGGGGTAAAACATGTGATGGTTCCACCGTATCACCAGCCTCAAATGGGGCAGCAGAGAGAACTGTTCAAATAGTGAAAAGAACATTGCATAAGTATTTCCTGAGTGATAAGTTGGGAAGAAAGACCCACGTGTCAATTCGACACAGGTTAGATAATTTCTTGTTCTCATAAAGAACAACCCCTCAAACTGTTACGGGAGTTTCTCCGTATGAATTAGTGTTCAAATTCGCTCCAAGGACAAGGTTTAGTTATTAAGCCATATTTGAATACCAGGGTGACACAAAAACAAGAAAAAACGAGACAGTATCATGATAATCCATGCATGAAACTGAGACAATTTGAATCAGGTGAAAGTGTCATGGTAAAGAACTATAGAGGTGGAAAGGAACGTTATGTTCTAGGAGTGATTGTGAAGAGGCTAGGTTTTTATTCATACCTTGTGAAGATTGGAGGAAGACTACGTCAGTGTCACGTTGATCATTTGGGTGGACACTTTATGGGCTCCAAGATTCTCTCATTATTATTCATGAGCTTACGTGCGCGCGAGCGCGAGCGCCTGCACATACAGCTAAGTTTCTCTATGCCATACTCAGTGCTCAGCATGCTAGCAGAGTTACGAGTAAGAACTGTACATCTCTCTGGCAGAACGCCTAACTCTGTGTATATAACGCACACGGTTACGAACGTTAGCAGAACGCCTAACTCTATGACAAGCAATTCATTATCAGTATCATCTAAAGTACCCAAAGTATAAGGAGGAGGAAAGGACCAAATTGTCTTTTAGCTGTGAAGAACAGATATGAAGGTTTATGAAAAGATTTTTCTTCCTTACCCATCTGACCCTTGAGCCTGAGTTTAGTAATAAATGAACGCTATAATAAAATATTTTATATACCTCACTTAAGAAATCCAGCCATCTGATTGCATTCATAAACTTTAACTATTCCTGTAAAATTCCCGGTAAAATTCCAAACCCATGTAATAGTTTTTAAAAATAGTTCTAAAATCCCAGTAACCATGGTTACCGGGAAAATAGTTCAAAAAATAGTTCTAAAATCCCAGATACCATGGTTACCGGAAAAATAGTTTGGTCTTGGTGAAATTGGTTTGAGCGATCGAGGATACCGTATGTGTGCAAAGAATTGGTCGGTATTTTCATACAAGACAAGACAATTCCAAACAAGACAAAAATGGCTAAAGAAACTCTCCCAAGATTTCAACTTATCAAATGCAAGACTCGCTGACAGCAAGAACAACAAAAAGGGTACGTGAAATTATCCATAAACATGTTTGTTTAGTTGCTGAAAATGGAGTACCAGCATAGACGTAGACGAAAATAGATCTAGTAGGCCTAGTCAGGGTGTCTGATCGCGCATCCGATGTTGTGTACAAAAATTCTTCCCATAGAGATTACACGCAATGCAGTCTCTATGCAGTCTACGTGCATTGCGCGACCATGCAAAAAAGTCAATTTTTTTTTTTTTATTCAATTCGAGATTCAAACCTTTATCTGTTGTGATCCTGAAGGTGATACTCGATAAGTGAGGAGTCGTATGAAAGCGCAGGTTCTTCTCCATATTCCCAACAGGGCCGGCCCACCCCAAAATTGTAAAAATATCTTGCTTAGCCTTAGACTAGAATCCAGATCTAGTCTACTCTCAAAGATACACTCATAAAAAACAACCGTGCAGATAAACTAGAGAAAGGCCAAGGTGGTGTCATTAGTTGACTCTTTTGTTTTCGGCATATAAAAGTATTAATGACTGCTTTAATGTTCGAGAAATAGTTGTTTTTATACGCTCAAGGGAAGGTTAGAATTGTGCTATTGCCCGAGGCGTGCCGAGGGCAATAACTATTTCTCTCAAAGCAGTCATTAATACTATAATATCAGACGCCTACTCTCTATGATAGTTTTTTATTATTAACTGTTAAAATAATCATTATGATGATGAGGAAGAGAAAAAACGAAATGTTCAAATTGAGGTTTCAGAAGATAATTAGAGTTTATAGATTACTCTCGATTATGCTTATTATGAATAATAACTCGTACAGCTAAATAAAGCAGGATCCGAAACTTTATGTTGGGCTCCAATCCTCTGCGAAGTATGAAAATAATCATAGAAAAGAGGAAAATGGGATGACGATTTGTTGAAACTAATGTTATATAAATGTGTTGAATTTGGTGATATAAATTACGAGTGTTGTGAAATAAATAGAGTACAAATAAACCCCTAAAATACTTAGAATTGCCAGTCTTAAAACCTGTATTGACAATGCACGTACAGCTAAAGCGGGCTCCGAAACTCTATGACGGGCTTCAATCCTCTGCGAAGTATTAAAATAATCATAGAAAATGGTGAAAAGAGGAAGAATGGGGTGACGATTTGTTGAAACTGATGTTATATAACTTATGCAGTGTTCTGAGATAAAATTAAGTTCAAATATACCCCTAAAATACTTGGAATAGCCAGGCTTAAAACCTTTATTGACAATGTACGTAGAGCTAAAGCGGGCTCCGAAACTCTATGACGGGCTCCAATCCTCTGCGAAGTATTAAAATAATCATAGAAATGACGAAAAGAGGTAAATGAGGTGAAGATTTGTTGAAACTGATGTTATATAAATTATGCAGTGTTCTGAGATAAAATTTAGTACAAAATATACCCCTAAAATACTTGGAATTGCAAGGCTTAAAACCGGTATTGACAATGTACGTAGAGCTAAAGCGGGCTCCGAAACTCTATGACGGGCTCCAATCATCTGCGAAGTATTAAAATAATCATAGAAATGACGAAAAAAGGTAAATGAGGTGAAGATTTGTTGAAACTGATGTTATATAAATTATGCAGTGTTCTGAGATAAATAGAGTACAAAATATACCTCTAAAATACTAATTGCCAGGCTTAAAACCTGTATTTCCAATGTACATAGAGCTAAAGCGGGCTCCGAAACTCTATGACGGGCTCCAATCATCTGCAAAGTATTAAAATAATCATAGAAATGACGAAAAGATGTAAATGAGGTGAAGATTTGTTGAAACTGATGTCATATAAATTATGCAGTGTTCTGAGATGAAATTTAGTACAAAATATACCCCTAAAATACTTGGAATTGCCAGGCTTAAAACCTGTATTTCCAATGTACGTAGAGCTAAAGCGGGCTCCGAAACTCTGTGACGGGCTCCAATCCTCTGCGAAGTATTAAAATAATCATAGAAAATGATGAAAAGAGGTAAATGAGGTGAAGATTTGTTGAAACTGATGTTATATAAATTATGCAGTGTTCTGAGATAAATAGAAAACAAAATATATCTATAAAATACTAATTGCCAGGCTTAAAATTTGTATTTCCAATGTACGTACAGCTAAAGCGTGCTCCGAAACTCTATGACCGGCTCCAATCCTCTGCGAACTATTAAAATAATCATAGAAAATGATGAAAAGAGGAAAATGAGGTGAAGATTTGTTGAAACTGATGTTATATAAATTATGCAGTGTTCTGAGATAAAATTTAGTACAAAATGTACCCCTAAAATACTCATTGCCAGGCTTAAAACCTGTATTGACAATGTACGTACAGCTAAAGCGGGCTCCGAAACTCTATGACGGGCTTCAATCCTCTGCGAAGTATTAAAATAATCATAGAAAATGGTGAAAAGAGGAAAAAGGGGCGACGATTTGTTGAAACTGATGTTATATAACTTATGCAGTGTTCTGAGATAAAATTAAGTTCAAATATACCCCTAAAATACTTGGAATAGCCAGGCTTAAAACCTTTAT